AATTTTTTTTAGTTTTTTATTTTATTGATTTTAGTGAGTAAGAGAGAGATAGAAACATTAGTGATGCGAGAGAAACATTGATCAGGAATCATGTACCCTGACCAGGAATCAAACGGTCACCTCCTGATTCACAGGTCACTGCTCAATCACTGAGTGATGCTGGTCTGGCAAGAATCCTCATTCTTGAAGGACGTTAATTGCTGAACTACATATGTATTGGAGAAATGTAGAAAATACATCCGAATTTTTCTACAAACCAGTCATTGGTGTATATACAGACTATGCTTTTAGAATGAAAGTGTGAATGAGAATTTGAAAACCTGGAAATCTTGATCTGGTTTTATGCTTAAAGATAGAGTAGCTGTTGCCCTAGCTGGTTTTGCTCAGTGGATAGAGTGCCAGTCTACGGATTAAAGGGTCCCTGCTTCGATTCTGGTCAAGGACACGTGCCCGGGTTGCGGGCTTGATCTCCAGTAAGGGGCATGCAGAAGGCAGCTGATCAATGTTTCTCTCATCATTGATGTTTCTATCTCTCCCTCTCCCTTCCTCTCTGAAATCAATAAAAATATATTTAAAAAAATTGAGTAGCTGTTGTTTGGAGTGTGTGTGTGTGTGTGTGTGTGTGTGTGTGTGTGTGTGTGTGTGTTTAAATGAACTCTTTGAAATTTGGAACTTGAAAAAAAATAATTTTAAGTGCACACTTCAGTGGCATTAGTACATTTACATTGTTGAACAACCATAATCACTGTCCATCTCCAGAACCTTTCATTATCCAAAACTGAAGTTTGTACCAATTAAATAATAACTTCCTTGACTTCCCTTCCCCTAGCCCCTGGTAATTGCTGTTCTACTTTCTGCATATAGTAAGTGGAAAATAGCAGATTTTGATGACATAATTGGTTTTTTTTTAAACTTTTAATTTCTTTTTTCTACCATATGTATTATACTATCATAATGGAATAGAAGCAAATGAGGAAAAAATTGGTAACTCTAGAGGACTTTGTGCTTTTAATTATTGAAAGATAATTTTACTGGAGCAGTAGGTTAGTAAGATTTAAATATTATATTAAATCTTTTTTTTTTTTTCCTCACCCCACTTTGATCTTCACTCTGGAAAAAAACAAAATCATCATGTAACAGCTTAAAAACTTCCTTTTCCCCCTTTAAACAATGTTGCTGTGTCACTTGGACTTTATATTTATAGTCTGAAGCCAGATGAAGTTAAGTTTTCCTGACCTTTTCATGTATCAAAGTGGTTGGATACTTAACTCTATATTAAAAGTTACACTAACCATTGAAATAGCAAATTACAAATATACCGTTTTTAAAAAAAGAGTCATGAAATGGTTTTCTGCTATTTAAAATATAAAAACAGGCACAAAATATTAATTTTTTTGTTAAATGTAATAGAATTATGTTCTTGTGTCCATAATTTCATGTATGCCTGGATTTCCAAAACTAGACTGAGCTGTTTTACTAATCAAATTTCAAACCCCAGTGTTTTGATAGGTATGCAACTTCATCTTGTAGGATTTCAGTGGTCCAAAAAGATCCATTAGTCTTCTGTTCTTTCTCTTTTAACTATTTCTTACTTTAAATACAGTTGCTAGAAAGAAATATGTTCATGTTTCTTGATGCAGGAGTTATGTTACACCTTTTATTAAGTTTGCATTTGTATATGTTCTTTGGTGTGTTTGAGGGGAGAGGACCAGAGGGTGATTAGGAGTGGGGGGTTAGTAGGATATTATTCAAAGACTTGAATGAGGCCAGTTACCTTTATGTTATATAAAATTTGTAGACTCTCAGGGTTACATCAGATTTCTGCTAGGAAGTGAAATCAATTTTAGGTGGTCACTTTGCGTTTTTTTGTTTATTTGTTTTGTTTTTATCCTCACCTGAGAATATGTTTTTATTGATTTTGGGGGGGGCGGGGGAGAGGGAAAGGAAGGGAGAGAGAGAAACATCCATGTGAAAGGGAAACATCGATCAGCTGCCCCCCAATTGAGGATCGAACCTGCAATCCATGTATGTGCCCTGACCAGGAATTGAACCCGAAACCTTTTGGTATATGGGACGACACTCCAACCAGCTGAGCTACCCAGCCAGGGCTCACTTTGTGTTTTGATCGCCAATCTGATATCTCCTGAATACAACATGAGATTTGTCATATCTTTTGCGATACATGAAAAATATTTTAGGTTTTTAAACATTTTTGTCCTCTGTTTTATTACATATCTTTAACAGAAAATTGAAAATGTTAATACATTTACTGTGGCTAAAATTAATGATATAAAATTATAGCTATCATTTTAGACAGATCTTGAAAGAGCAAACTGGTTTGAGACAAAATAGATATAAAAAAATATGCTTCTCTTTTGTATGTTTACATTTTGTAAAAGAAAGAATTTTCCCTGAGAAATATTAGAACTTAACTCTAAAATCATCCATTTAACCCCTTCCTGATTTTATTTTTTACTATTTTATTTTAAAAAATATATATATATTTAAAATACATTGTTACTGATTTTAGAGAGGAAGGGAGAGGGAGATAGAAACATCAATGATGAGAGCATCACTGATCGGCTGCCTTCTGCACACTCTTCCCCCTCCCCAACTAGGGATGGAGCCTGCAATCCAGGCATGTGCCCTTGGCTGGAATCGAACCCGGGACCCTTCAGGCTGGATACTGACGCTCTATCCACTGAGCCAAACCAGCTAGGGCTAAAAAATGTTTTTATTGATTTCAGAGAGGAAGGGAGATGAGAGATAGATAGAAACATCAATGATGAAAGAGAATCATTGATCAGCTGCCTCCTACACACCCCTCACACTGGGAATTGAGCCTGCAACCCAGGCAATTGCCCTGACCAGAAATCGAACCGTGACTTCCTGGTTCTTAGGTCGACACTGACCATTGAGAAGCACTGGCCGTGCGCGTGTAACTTTCTTTTTCATCCACAGTTGCAGGAAAATCTGGTGGTGGTTATTTTGAGAAGGTATCTCCAATGTCTAATACAAACATTTTTTCTGTTAACGTCTTTCTTAGAGAATATACATCATCTTACATTTTTACCGTGTTTTGGAGTTATCAAATGTGTGTTCATAGTGTTTTTGATGAAAAGGGAAATAAGAGACTTAGATAAGTGATTTCTTCCAAAATTACATAGCTGTGAAGTGTGAAAGCTTACTAGAATTTAGTCATTTGCTTTTGTTCTTTCTGTTTCTGTTACATATAATACAACCTGATATACATCAAATGTTCTAATTAATGTGGCTAAATTTTAATTCATTTTAAGATAGGATAGAGGAACCTTAAGAGGTTTTATTTTTGAACTTTCATATTTGGGTTTAATTCCTATAGTGTTTGGTTTTTAGAATTTTTGCAATGAGAACGTTTCTAAAAACAGGGTATAAAATATTTTTAACAAACTGGCATCAGAAAAGAACTGAGGTTTGAATAAAGATTCTTATGTCAGATTTTGGACTACCTGTTTTTATCCAAGGGATTTTCTAATATAAATTAGAAAAGGAAATTTAGCTTTTAAAAATTTTGTGGATCCTTGATGTGGATTTTTAGTGCCATTGTGTATATCAGGACTATCCTTGTGCAAGTTTATTGCTTCCTTCTTCTTGCCCCCTAATTATTTTTCAAATATTTCACAAGTATTTCATCCAAATATGGGTAAACATAGTTAGCTTTGGTCTCTTTACACTTAATTTCATTTCCTAAAATATTCACTAGGTTAAAGGTTATGGTTTTTCTTTGAATTTGAAGGTGTTGCCCTAATAGTGTTACTAGAAATTATTCCATCTCTAGTCTAGACCAAACCTACTCACAATTAAGGCTATTATATGATGGAATTACATTGCCTCCATACTTATGTTTATTCATAGGGGAAAAAAATTAGAAGTTAGAGATTTGTGGTTTCTCTCAAATGTAGTGGTTGGTTAATATTAGGTTAGTGTTTGAATATTTTTCTGGAAAAAAATTTTTTTGAGAGTAATTCAGCACAGGGGTCACTTAAGAGTTATATCAGCAGAATTCTTCACTGTTACAAAAGTTATTACATAAATTATATTAATTTTGTACCCAAATACTTGTTTTAAGGCATTTCTGATTTTTGGGTATGATTTATGAAAATTTTAAACCAAGCTTTGATTCCTGTTTATAACCTGGATTAAAAATTTAAGACTTTAAGAGTATAGTAAGTCTTCAGTCAGGAAATTGATAGATAGCATTGATTATCTTATGTGATTATCAAATATTACTGAATTAGTTTCCATAACATCATAGGAGTAGCTTCACATTTTTTCCTTTTTTTCCTGAATGCATTTAAAAGGTAGCTTTTAATTTTGGGAACTTTAGCAATCATTTTATAAATGTGTACTAGGTCAGAAATTTTAAGTATGAAGGAAGAAATGTTAATGACATATCTTCTTAAAAAGACTCACAAATCTTTTGTGGAATCAGGATATAACTTTCTGAATAGTCACATCAAACAATGTTGCCTAGTTAGACCTATCTGATGTAAAATGGTTTTGGTTTTGAGTAAAAATTGATCTGTTATTTTAATGATTGCTTCCTTCGTTCTGTGTGTTTTTTCCTGTTTATGTGTAGTACATTATAGTCTTCAAAGTGTGGCTCTATTTATAATTGTTCTTACCTCAGAAAAGAGCAGAGCTTAATAAATGGTACTTTGAAGGTGATGATTACAGTAGATTTGTATTTCTTTTTTTAAAATTAAAAAAAAATTGATTTCAGAGAGAGGAAGGGAGAGAGAGACAGAAACATCAATGAGAGAGAACCATCAATTGGCTGCCATCTGCACACCCCCTGCTGGGGATCGAGCCTGCAACCTAGGCCTGTGCCCTGACAGGGAATCGACCATGACATCCGGGTTCAGGGTCTACGCTCAGGCACTACACTGAGGCACACTGCCTGGGAGGGATTCATAATTTTTTTGCTGATTTTAGCGATCTGTTTTAATATCCAGTTTGATGGCAGTATAATCAATTAGAAAACTGATTTTCTAAACCCAGTCAAAAATGTAAATTACTATGATGATAGAGTAGCTCATGCCCATTGCTTTTGGAACTATGTTAATTTGACATTTTGCATTAGATTTTGCTTCCAATTTAAGATAATTAAAAACATATTTTTTTCAAATTTTATTTATTTTATTTTTAAACATATTTATTGATTTCAGAGAGAAAGGAAGAGGGAGAGAGAGATAGAAACATCCATGATGAGAGAGAATCAGAATCATGGATCAGCTGCCTCCTGCAAGTCCCCTACTGGGGATTGAGCCCACAACCCGGGCATGTGCCCTTGATTGGAATCGAACCCGAGACCGTTCCGTCCACAGGCTGATGCTCTATCCACTGAGCCAAATCCGCTAGGGCTAAAAATATTTTTAATGACTATAACAATGTAAGAATAGGTAGTGTGCATGTGATAATAGAAATTTAGTTGTAATTTGATAGTTGTATTACTCATTCTTTGAAGATGCAACTATCAGTATCCGCTAATGAACATTTGACTCTTGTTTTTTTTTTCATTGTTTATATCTGTTTTCTTATTTTGGTTAATGCTTACCCCAGGATTTTTTTTCCATTAATTTTTAGAGTGGGAGCGGAGGGAAGGGGGGAGAGACACACAGAGAGAAAAACATCGATGTGAGGGAGAGAGACATTGATTGACATTGATTGGTTGCCTACCGCACCCACGTACTTGCCCTTGACCAGGAATCAAACCCTCTACCCTTTGGTGTGTGGGCTGACGCTCTAACCACTGAGAAACATGGGCCAGGGTTATGTTTTCTTGATAATTACAGTTAATATGTGCCTGTTTCCTCATATAGTAAATACAAAATGGTTCATACACCTAGGTCCTAGGGATGTTTTGTTAATTTGTATATTTCCTTTTGAATGGTACTTTGGCATTGGTGTATTAGTTCCTTATTGAGGGAATGGACAACAGCCTTAAGGGGGAAGGAAGGGTTACAAGCTTATCATACTGGAAGTTCAGTTTAACATTAAGCATTTGATTGGCTCTTTTTGTCAATTGAAGGCTTACAACATGCTCATTTGAGCTTAGAAGGAATAAAACTGTTGAAATAAGTACTGAAAGTTATTATTGCTCTTTTTTTAACAGGTATTTGTTTGCTTATGGAAAGGTTGTAAAGTATATAACACTCCGTCAACCAGTCAGAGTTGGTTACAGAGGCATATGCTGACACACAGTGGAGACAAACCTTTCAAGGTAAGTAAATGTATGTGAGTTTTATTTTTTAAATTTCAATGTAAATTGACAAGATTCTTAATGAGCATACTTTTGCCCTTAAATTTAAAAGAACCATTTGTTTTAACATGTTAGTACATGTAATAGTGGACAGATCAATGACTTGAATGCATGTGTTGTTTTTTTTTAATCCTCACCTGAGGATATTTTTCCACTGGTTTTTAGAGGGAGTGGAAGGGAAGGAGGGAAGAGTTTGGGGAGGGAGAGAAACATCATTGTAAGAGACACATCGATTGGTTGTCTCCCATACTCAGATTTTGGGATTCTTTAAACTATTCTCTTGATCTTTTCTTTTGTAATTGTGATTTTGATTCTTGTTAGTCAGCTAATATTACGCTTCATCAAGGCTAAGTTGTTTAAACCCAATATTGCTTACAAATATTTACTTAACTGAAAAAAAATTAGTTGTATACAGCATATTTAGTGATTGTTTTGATTTCCTTTTTCTTTCTTGTCAATGTGGCTGTGGTTTGTCTGGATAAATTTGTATGTATATGTTTGAAACTGTTTCAGGTAAGCTCATTTTTCCCCCTACTCTGATATTTCTGTTTACTTTGAACACAGTATTTATAGTTATTTAGTTGTCTTGGGTTAATTTATTTACTGTAACTTTTCCTCAGCAACTAGTCTTCTATAGCTCAACACGATGGATTCCTTTCATAATATTGACAGTTGAGTAACTTCTCATTGTGGTAGAGTAATGTTTAAAAAACAGCCTTTCTTTCAAGTCTGAATTGGCCAATCTTTTTAGGTATTTTGGAACTAAGAACCTAACCTAAAAGGTTGATGAAGAGTAAAAGAAATTTTATCAAACCAGACTTAAACTATTATATACCCACTCTAAGGTGGCTTATAGTTGGTGCATTCAAGCACATTCTGGTAATTTGTTGCAGGACACAGTGAGTGATACTAATATTACATCATTCACTGTGATGAGTGATGAAATAATTTCTTCAGTACCTTTATTATTTGCTCTATAATGGTAGTGATACTGCTCATATTAAAATCTTTTACTTTTCAATTTTAGTGAAGTAGAATTGACAAATAAAAATAAGATAGCTAAAAGTACATTGTGACTTGATATGCATATATAATTGTGAAAGGATTCCCTTCATTTACTTAATGCATCCATCACCTTACACACAACACATACATTGCAGTGAGAATCTTTTGCTTTTCAATACTTTCTCTGTAATAATATAAAGCTTTAAATACCCTAATTTGCTATCTTTCATTAATTCTTTGCCGTTTTGTATGTCTTTGTGTATCTGCATTTGAAGCTCTCATGTTGTGTAGCCTTGGCAGCCAAGTTTTAAGAGGCTCCCACTCATACAAAGTTGGTATCTATCTATAATAATAAAAGAGTAATATGCTAATTAGACCGGCTGAATGACCTTCTGGACAAAGCCGGGGCTGCGAGGGTCGAGCCCCTTGCACGAATTTCTTGCATCGGGCCTCTAGATGAGTATAAATAAGGATAATATAGCTGCAATGATCATCATGCTTCTAAAAAATAAAAAATGATCTCTCCTGCCCCCCAAAAAAGAATGGTCACTGTTGGAGAATGGTAGGAATCTCATTATTTGGAAAGCCATAAGAATCAAGAGGTTCTTCTTTTTTTTTTTTTAATATATATTTTTTTATTGATTTTTTACAGAGAGGAAAGGAGAGAGATAGAGAGTCAGAAATATCGATGAGAGAAACATCGACCAGCTGCCCCTGCACATCTCCCACTGGGGATGTGCCCGCAACCTAGGTACATGCCCTTGACCGGAATCGAACCCGGGACCTTTCAGTCCGCAGCCGACGCTCTTATTCACTGAGCCAAACCGGTTTCGGCGAGAGGTTCTTCTTTTATTATATGAACTGTGCCACGAGGTATCCAGATCCTGGTGCCTGAGTTGCACCCATGACCAATTAAATGTGATTCTCTGGGGTATGTTGCCAGGCATTGCTTTATTAAAAAAGATCTTTCCAGTAGTTCCGATGTGCACCCACACATAAGAAACTGTTCTACGAGATAGTTCCCTTATTAGAGAAATATCACCTATGATATAGTAGCTACCACGAAACATTTCTCTGATAAATGTGGTTTATCAGGAAATTCGGTGCTCTTTGAGAGGAAGAAAGGTCTATGCTGTGTTTACCATGTGCACGTTGCATGTGGGATTTTTATTAACTTACTCTTCTCTAGGCCTCCTTGATACCACACTTGCCTGTATTTCATCCCCCCTCACCCATGCTTCCAAGCTCAGTGGCTGCTCCCTTTAGTCTGCTTTGCTGGCCTCTGCTCTACCTGACTTCTAAATGTTGGAGAGTACTCTCTTAAGAGCTCTCACCCTTGGTGAGAATATAAATACTATTTATATTCTGGTTACTCTTAGATATGTATCTCTAGCCCTAACTTTCCTTCTTGGATTCCAGAATAGAATATTCATCTTGCAAGTCTAATAGATCATTTTGAACTTAATTAACATGTACAAAATCTTGAGGTTTTCCATTTCAAAAATGGTTCTACTTGAGATTCAGTAAATAGTAAGATCATCCATCCAGTTACTCTGGTTTCAAGAGCCCTGCATTATTCTTGACTTATTTCTAAACTTCTGTATACTCCTCCTATCTGCAGTAGCAGATCCTGTCAGTTTGACCTGCAGTACATTATGAATTTGACTGCTACTTCTTACCCTCCTCTTTTATCCCCAGTTCATCTTCTGTGATTGTTAGTCACTACTATTTGAAATTCTTGGTAACTTCTCACTCTTTCCAAATTAAAATTCACATTTTTAAAAAAAAAAAAATCCTCACCTGAGGATATTTTTTCCATGGACTTTTATTACTATTTTTTCAATTGGATGTATTTTATTTTTTATTTAAAAAAATCTTTATTGTTGAAAGTATTACATAGGTCCCCTTTTATCTCCTATTTACCCCTTATAGTCCGCTACACCCTTTATTCCCAGGACTCCACCACCCTATTGTCTGTGTCCATGGGTTATGCATATATGTATACAAGTTCTTTGGTTAATCTCTTTCTACCCACCCACCTTTTAGAGAGAGTAGGAGGGAGGGGGGCAGAGAGAGAGAGAGAGAGAGAGAGAGAGAGAGAGAAAGAGAAACAGAAACATCTATGTGAGAGAGACACGTGAATAGGTTGCCTTGTGCACATGCCCTGACCAGAGCTGGGGATCGAGCCTGCAACTGAGGTACAACTGAAGTATGTGCTTTTGACCAGAAAATGAACCCGTGACTCTTAGGTCTAAGGGCCAATACTCTTACCACTGAGCAAAACTGGCCAGGGCAAAATTCACATTTCTTAGCATTATGCAAGTAAGGTCTTCATTCCTGATTCTTACCTTCATCTCTAATCTCATTTGTTCCCTTACTATATCTTCATAGGAAATTGTGTTCTGGCCATAGTAAGGCTGTTTGTAGTTCTCAAATGGATCACACCGTACCTTCATTATGGTTTTTTGTGTAGGCTGTACTTCCTACCTGGAATTTTATTGATTGATTGATTTGAGAGAGAAACATAGATTTGTTATTCCACTTGTGTATGCACTCATTGGTGTTTCTTGTGTGTGCCGTAACTGAGGATGGAACTCTCAATCTTAGCATTTTAGGATGACACTCTAACTGGGCTCTACCTGGAATTTTAAAAAGCATTTGGGAAAATGTTTAGATTTATGGACAAGTTGTAGAGATAGTACAGAGTCCCCCTGTACTTTCACCCAGTTTGTTTCCTCTGATGTTATCATCTGATGTTACTTTGGTACATTTATCAAAACTAAGAAACCGGCATTTTACCTGGAATTTTTGTTTTCCTTAATATTACCTGTTAATAAATACTGTTATATCTTTTGTGAAACTGGTATTTTCTGCTTTATGTTTCTGTAGCCCCTTAGGGAGTTTCATAGTACTTCATAGTCTTAGTACTGGCAAAGACAGTCTTAGTCATTTGAATAAATCTATTTAGGGGAGAAAAAAACCCTCATTCCACATTTCAGATTTTAGAACAGCTACTTCATTCACCACAGTGGACGTAGAGTGTTTCAGTGGATTTGGGAGATAGAACATGTAAAACATTCAATCTCTAAAAACCGGGTTTTTTTTTCCTAATTGTTGAAATGGTGCTTTTTCATCAGAACACCATGTGAGGTGGCTTAAGTTCAGGGGTCACTGTTGTATGTGTGGGTGAAAACATGAATATTTGAACACTAAAATACCACTCAGTACCATGAAATGCTCATGTTACCAGGAATGAAGGTGCTACAGGCCATTTGAGGCAACAGCAAACTGTCTCTCACCTGTTCTCTGTGACACACACTGAGTGGAATATTGATTAGATGACACTTAAGGATTTGTATTTAAGTGAAATGTGTATGATTGTGATTCTATTATATTTATCCTCCAATATAATAAAGAGGTAATATGCAAATTGACCCTCACTCCATCACGCCGCCACAAGATGGCTGCGCCCACAGTGGAGGCGGGGTTCCCGTAACGAGCTGTAATGAGCGATCAGCCGGGACCTGAGGCTGCCCTTATTAGATAAGGGCGTGGCGCCAGGCCAGGGCGGGGGACCTAAGGCTGCGCCCCCCACCCGGCGGGGCTTGATGGGGACCTCAGGCTGCACCCCCCACCAGGCGGGGCTAGAAGGGGGACCGGCCGTGCCC